TAGAAAAAACATGTCTACGTTCTATTCATTATTTTGTTTTCTTGTTTTAATTTAGTTAAATCGTGGCCACAAATTCGTTCCCACAACTTACTAATTTGTGGCCACATATTATTCATTTGTTTTAGTTAAATTGTGCATGATGTATTCATTTGTTCCCTTGTTTTAATTTAGCTAAATTATAGCCACACATTTTTTCGTGGAACAAATTCTTAATTAATGACCACATTATCTTGGGCCTTTTCCCTGCATGTCATGTGCAGGCTCCAAAAATTTGTAAAATGTCATTTCCACCACAGAATGTTATCAAACAAAATACACGATTTGAAATGTGGTAGAAATGTTCATGACTGTTCCTGTGATGCATATACTGTATGTCCACTGTTGGGATTTGTTAGTAGACAAAGTAAATATGAGAGTGTGGAAATGTAATTTGAGAGAGTTAATTTTCTAGAGCAGGGAAAAGTGCCTATAGTTGAAGAAACACCCTCAAATGAACAAAAGCAAAATGCATGTCAATACCTCAAATTAACATTAAAATAAAATAATGTTAAAAACAGATTGAAAGCCATTTAAGGGTAAATGCTATTGCAAGAATCATGCTGTGGATACATTCACAAGGAAAATTGTGAATAAATGATAATTAGCCAAAAGAAAAAAAACCTTCAGCGCACTCATAAATTACACAACAGCCATAAATTACAAAAACTCAACATTATTGAAATGAAACAAATCCAGTTAACAATTTCCACAGCAGGAGAGCGAAAAACATACAGTAGTACAGTGTATTTGCTAAATTACATTTAATGAATTTTGTAATCGTGAGATCTAAATCTGCTTTCAGATTGACTGTGATAGTCATCTTTCTGAGGGGACATTTGGCACTAAACCAAGCAGCTCTGCATGTTTGGCACAAGAGATAAAGACTGAACTCGGAGCTCATTTGAACATGAACCTAGAGTTAATGTCAGAACACTTATGAATCGATCTTAATTACACATTTTCATATTTTTCTAAATATGAAAGATAAATAATTGCTTTAAATGGTTTTTATGGGTAGAGCACTAGATAAAGACCATTACCTGCTTGTTGGCTTCAACTTCCTTCGCAGCCCTAAGTAACATTTAACAGACTTTAATGGAGCCTCTCTTTCTGGTTTGGTACTCTGTGGAAACAATAGCACATGTTTCAAAATCAACACAGGGCTTTTATTAAAAAATAATTCTGTATTTACTCATATTTTACAGTACATACAACCTAGCCCATGCTTAATGCTGCTTTATTATAGGTAATAATGCAATATATCTATTAAAATCCTTTCCAAACAATCAGCACCACCAAAACTGGTTCACATACAGTATGCAGAAAAGTAGTGTGAAAGAAAAAAAATGCTGCCTTATTTCCCCCAGCTCATCCACTTGAATCAAAAGGGGAAAAAACGGCAATTTCCTGTTTACAGCTGTTGGAAGCCCAAGGGCATCGTGTAAACTAGCATGTGCCGACAACACTGTGTTTTTGCCTGGAAGGGATGTACTTCGTACGTAATGCACTGCAAAACACGAGCGGCGCAGGCGAACACATCAACGACGGCAAAATGAGATCTAACCGAGAATCCTAACTTACAAAAAAAGCAAGAAACAGAAAACAAAGGCATCGGAATATCAATTAAATTTCTGCTTCACAGCCAATTCCCACCTTCTTCACTTGATAATTAGCTGAATATTCTGCAGCAGCCAGAAATTACGCTAATTAAGGAAAGAACAGCCTTCATTCAGAGTGTCTTCGCCTCTCTGCCTTCCCTCCATCTCTCTCCCAGTCTAACACACACACACATCGCTCAAATTTCAGTTATTAACACATCCTGCACTCTTTAGGAGACTGTGTCTTAGCTCACGGAGCGTGTGCCCCTGAGGAAGAGCAGATCGGCGTGTGCACAGAGTGAATAAAGCAAGTATGAGGAGATATTACAGAGAGAGAACCTAACAGACTGCAGTCGTTTAAATCACTCTACTCATTTCAGGGGGTATGAGAAGTCCCACATTACTTTAATTCAAAATGAAAATAGTCATTATGGGTTTATTTGTTTCTTTTTTTTTTTCTTCCACGCTTATTACAAGCGGGCCCCTGCGATTGGCACAAAGCAGGTAATTTCACATCCGCTGTGTTTTTTAATTACCATTTCATCTGCAAATGCATGCTAAGAAAACAAACAGAGCTAATATGAAATGCCATGCTGGAAAATCAAAATTGGTAAACTGGCGACTGCTGCAGGGCCGCTGGCAAACAGAGATATTGTGCAAAGGTCGATCCCGATGAACAGCAGGGATGGAGATATTTACATATTACCATGGGCAGAGATACTTAAAGACCTTGCATGTGCACCAAATCAACATATTAGAATAATTTCTGAAGGATCATGTGACACTGAAGACTGGAGTAATAGCTCCTAAAAAATCAGCTTTGCCATCAGGAATAAATTACATTTTAAAATATATAAAATCATCACTTCCTTTTGAATGCTAAGCATTCTACATTTTCGAACTCATAAAAGTTACAAGTTTACAAAAACAACACATTAAATGCTGAAATTATTTAGTAAACTCCCTTATAATAATGTTTGAGGAATATCATTACAGCACTGCCTTACAAGCACTGCAATTATATTGACTAGGACTTTATGAATTTTCATGACATTTCTAGGCCTGGAAGTCAGACTTTTGCCTGATATTTTCCATGACAGTGGGAACTTTGGAAGAAATAGTTTCATACAAAAAAATGTCCCTTACTTTTTAAGCTTCAAGTCTCAGGCAAGTGAAATACTTAAAACTTCCATATATTCTCGAGCAGCTCTAACTAACACTAACTTTTTGACCTTAATGATGTAGGAACAAATGTGCTGGAACATTTTGGACCTATTCCTGAGCTGAACACTCACTAAGACAGCTCATACTTTCCACTGTGACTTTATGGCCTTTGAGTTGTTCTTCACGTCTACATCCTCATTTTAGCAGCAGAAGGTCTCATCTGCCTGTTCCTTTACGTACCCAGCACTGCTCGCCAGTTTCTATGGAAACAATGCCAAGCAGAATGCTGGGTGAAATGGAAGCAGCGAGAGGTTAGAAGAGTCTCAGTGCACAGAGTATCAATTAATCTACCTGCATGGATTATTACTTTTAGTATATGTAATAATGAGACACAAAAATATGTACACTGAATTATGGTGCATGCCCTCCACTCCTCGTTTACTCTGCCGCTTGAGAATCCTTGCAGCACCTCTCTGCGCCCAACTTCCCAGAATAGGAAAAAAAATAAAGAACCGAAGTGCTTTATTTTTCTTCCTCGTATCAGTTCAAAGCCACAAAAGCAAGAATAAACCTCGACAATGAAAATAGTGAACCTGTGGGAAGTAGATAAGGATGAGGCATTAAGACCGTAGAGAGGGGAAGGAAAAATCTGAGAGGGTTAGAGGATTGGAGGAGGGATCTAAACAATGGCTAAATCATCTACTACAGTACTTCTATGCCATCTCTTGCCTTTGGTTTAAGTTATTAGCAGTGAATCAGCTGAGTCAGGCCCTCTGTGTGTAGTAGCGCCCGGCTTGTCTAAAGAAGAGTCTGCTGGAACCAGTGTTATTGAGGCAGTCTGCATGACCTTATTTCAGCTAAAAGACCTTCCCGGATAATGTGATTTATACTCATGAAGGATGACCTTGAAAACATTCCCTCAATTCTTAGGGCTAGTTTTCATCTAACTTTCTCTGGGAAAAAGGAAATGCAGCGTTAAAATAAAGGACTATAGGGGTATCATGGCCCTTATGAAAGAGAAGTACACTTGTGAATACTAATAATAGCAATGACGGAAATAATAGAACACTGAGAGACTTACGTGTGAAAAGAATGTGATGTTTTTGGATATTTAACAGCATGTTAATTGCAATTAGATTAAAATTTAATACATTTTAAATTTACATGAAATGCAGCTGAACTTTAGAGTGCTATTTTGACCCAGTTATGGACATCTTTATGTAATTTCATAATTACCCGTTTTTTTTTTAAATATGGTTATGGTTAAGTTTAATGCCAAGTGTACTGGCAGTCATTGATGGAAAACTAATATAACACCAAATATACTTCTATTGAAACATGTATGTGTTGTATTTAGTTATACTTGTAATTACACATTTGTAATAATGAATCTGCAATTTAGGGTAACACTTTATTTTAAGGTGTCCTTGTTACACGTTACATGTACTTACTATTATAATAACAATTAATTATGCATAATTACATGCACGTAACCCTACGCCAAACCCTAATCCTAACCATATAGTAAGTACACATAGTTAATTAATATTACTCAGTACTTAAATGTATAATTACACTGTAGCAAGGACACCTTAAAATAAAGTGTAACCCAATTTAGTCCATTTGAAATATATTAACTTTACATGTAATACTGAATAACACACTACAGTTATAATATAATCAAGTACTTTACATATTCTTTAGAAAGTTAGTCAACTCATTAAAATAAGTGTACTTCATTAAAGCCGGATAAAAAAAGATTATTAAAACCATGATTTAAATGTAATGTAACACCTAAGTGGCCTTTATTGTATTAACATTATCTGCAAGTGCATTTAAAAAAAAAATTTACCTTTAAAATTTGAAGTACACTACAAGTACACATTTGATTCACTTTTTCACAATGAAGTACTGCAATGGTATTAGATTGTAATACAATGTTCTCCATATTCATGTACTATGGTATTTACAAGGTACTTTCTACTCCAAAAAGAAAAAAAAATAAACATTAATATCATGGAACTTTATGGATTTATGAAAAATGCCTAATTTTTGGTTGCTAAATTCGAAATAAGCGGCAAGTTCCAGATGTGGAACAGTATCCATCTAAAAATGACATTGTTACAAATGGGCATGTAAAGAGATTTTTTATAATGTTAACTGCACATTATGAGCACTTAGAAAATGAAGAAAGCTCACCTTCACTCTGATAATGGAGGTGACCCAGTCCTGCTGAGAATCATTCCCTTTACAGCAGAAATACCTTTTTCAGGGAGGACGCAAAGGCATATATTCAGAACACTGAAGCACTCAAAGTGTCCTATTTGAAATTCAGTCATGCAGTTCTGTAGCTCAAGTACTACGCTGTGCAAAACCTTAGCAAGTTTCGGGCTGAAATATTTAAAAAAATAATCTATTATTCAGTTCCAGATCAAAGTTTTTCCTGAAAACCGTGCTGAAGGGTGTGATTGACTGTGCAATTAGGAACAGAGTTAATTGCACTTACCACTGCTGCTTTTCAGTATAAACAGTAAATCCCCAACTGTTGAAAATTAGTCAGAAAAACAACAACAAAAAGTATTCCATTAGTTTCACAGCATTTCATTCAGGTTCTCCACATCAATGTACAGCAATATTCAGCTTTTCCTGATGGCTGCACACACAGTCTGACCCTTGAGAACCTCTAAAGTGCTAAATTCAGCTTAACTTTCATAGCTAGCTGACGAGCATAATAGAAAAGATTAACTATTTTGTTTGTGTAAGATAATTTTATCATCTTTACATGTCCTGCTATACTTTACACTCTTAGAGATGTAACTTTTTTGCAAACCTAGTTCTCGTTAGTTTATTCAATTCATGGTTCATACTCTAAACCTCGCACATAGCACTTTAATCACTGTGGCTGACAAACAGCTGTTATTTTCACACAACTGGTCACGTAATGAGCATCAAAATATGTTTCTTCAACCTCTGGCACTTTGTCCCTGGTGTTTTTTTTTTACTATTATTTATTTTTTTTATTGCCTTTTATATATTCATTTTATGCCTTTACTCTGAAAACCCAGTACAAAAATATGATTTTAAAACTTTATCTCATGAAACAATAAAATAAACCATTTAGTACATATTAATATAACCATTTATATTATTTATATAAATGATTACAACGGTCTCCCACTTTTGACATCACAACACAACAAATACTTTTGCTTATATAAGTTTCATCAAAAGTTATTGTACCTGTGTACCAAGGAGACAACAATAGTTGCGTTTCCATTACCCTTCAAACTGTGCAAACTGAAATTGTGAATTGAAAATACGCCTAATGGAAACACACCAATTTCGCAAAAAAAACACGTATATCGCTGGCATGAGGTGTATTTTCAGGCAATTCGAAAAAGGAATGTTTCCCAAAACTGCATTTTTTCACATTTACAGGTCACCTGTTGTATGTAAAAATCACATGATCATTCTTTAAATATGGTGCAGTTTGTTTGGAAAGAAGATGGGACAGATTTCTTTATTAAACTCATAAAAGCCAAAAGAATTACGGGAATACTGGATTCTAAACAACAAAGAAATTCCACAATTTATCGGAGCAGATATGAGAAACAAAGGCTTCCAGAAACCATGGCAAATATTACGCTCCATATGGAAAGCTCTCAAACAGAAGTATATTTAAGAAAAGAGAAACCTCTGCAAAAGTGGTGCTTGTGGGAAATGGAAAATAAAATTCAAGTATTTCAACCTAATGGATGAAATGCTTGGCCAGAGACAAATTGTCACATCGATGAGCACAGTTCTGAACAGTATAGGTAGAGCAGCGTTAGAGCAAAAAATTACGTTTTAGTCGCACAACATTGGTTGATGGAAACGCGCCATTTTCGCAATAGTTTTTTATCGACATTTAGAAAATATCGCAAAAGTTTTGCACAAATCTGTAACGGAAACCAGGCTTGTGTCAGTGAAGAGCTTGACTGACATGAAATATGATAATTCAAGGAAAATATTACATGTGATAAATTCACATCACATTTTGTTTTGTTTTCCAATTAAGCTGTGAAGTCATTTTGCCATAAGTGTGAAAATATTACCAAATTGTGTTTACATTAGGTTGCAAAAAAAAATCAATCTATGAAATTAGCCTTAGAAGAGAGCCAGTGACATCACATGCGAAAAAAATAATAAGACACTGTGACCACAAATTAAGAATTTGTTGTCATGACTTGTTAATTCGTGGCCAAGTATGAATTGATTTTATTTAAATCATGGCCACCTTTGATCAAATCATTCCCTTGTTTTAGAAAAAACATGTCTACGTTCTATTCATTATTTTGTTTTCTTGTTTTAATTTAGTTAAATCGTGGCCACAAATTCGTTCCCACAACTTACTAATTTGTGGCCACATATTATTCATTTGTTTTAGTTAAATTGTGCATGATGTATTCATTTGTTCCCTTGTTTTAATTTAGCTAAATTATAGCCACACATTTTTTCGTGGAACAAATTCTTAATTAATGACCACATTATCTTGGGCCTTTTCCCTGCATGTCATGTGCAGGCTCCAAAAATTTGTAAAATGTCATTTCCACCACAGAATGTTATCAAACAAAATACACGATTTGAAATGTGGTAGAAATGTTCATGACTGTTCCTGTGATGCATATACTGTATGTCCACTGTTGGGATTTGTTAGTAGACAAAGTAAATATGAGAGTGTGGAAATGTAATTTGAGAGAGTTAATTTTCTAGAGCAGGGAAAAGTGCCTATAGTTGAAGAAACACCCTCAAATGAACAAAAGCAAAATGCATGTCAATACCTCAAATTAACATTAAAATAAAATAATGTTAAAAACAGATTGAAAGCCATTTAAGGGTAAATGCTATTGCAAGAATCATGCTGTGGATACATTCACAAGGAAAATTGTGAATAAATGATAATTAGCCAAAAGAAAAAAAACCTTCAGCGCACTCATAAATTACACAACAGCCATAAATTACAAAAACTCAACATTATTGAAATGAAACAAATCCAGTTAACAATTTCCACAGCAGGAGAGCGAAAAACATACAGTAGTACAGTGTATTTGCTAAATTACATTTAATGAATTTTGTAATCGTGAGATCTAAATCTGCTTTCAGATTGACTGTGATAGTCATCTTTCTGAGGGGACATTTGGCACTAAACCAAGCAGCTCTGCATGTTTGGCACAAGAGATAAAGACTGAACTCGGAGCTCATTTGAACATGAACCTAGAGTTAATGTCAGAACACTTATGAATCGATCTTAATTACACATTTTCATATTTTTCTAAATATGAAAGATAAATAATTGCTTTAAATGGTTTTTATGGGTAGAGCACTAGATAAAGACCATTACCTGCTTGTTGGCTTCAACTTCCTTCGCAGCCCTAAGTAACATTTAACAGACTTTAATGGAGCCTCTCTTTCTGGTTTGGTACTCTGTGGAAACAATAGCACATGTTTCAAAATCAACACAGGGCTTTTATTAAAAAATAATTCTGTATTTACTCATATTTTACAGTACATACAACCTAGCCCATGCTTAATGCTGCTTTATTATAGGTAATAATGCAATATATCTATTAAAATCCTTTCCAAACAATCAGCACCACCAAAACTGGTTCACATACAGTATGCAGAAAAGTAGTGTGAAAGAAAAAAAATGCTGCCTTATTTCCCCCAGCTCATCCACTTGAATCAAAAGGGGAAAAAACGGCAATTTCCTGTTTACAGCTGTTGGAAGCCCAAGGGCATCGTGTAAACTAGCATGTGCCGACAACACTGTGTTTTTGCCTGGAAGGGATGTACTTCGTACGTAATGCACTGCAAAACACGAGCGGCGCAGGCGAACACATCAACGACGGCAAAATGAGATCTAACCGAGAATCCTAACTTACAAAAAAAGCAAGAAACAGAAAACAAAGGCATCGGAATATCAATTAAATTTCTGCTTCACAGCCAATTCCCACCTTCTTCACTTGATAATTAGCTGAATATTCCGCAGCAGCCAGAAATTACACTAATTAAGGAAAGAACAGCCTTCATTCAGAGTGCCTTCGCCTCTATGCCTTCCCTCCATCTCTCTCACACACACACACACACATCCACACTTCGCTCAAATATCAGTTATTAACACATCCTGCACTCTTTAGGAGACTGTGTCTTAGCTCACGGAGCGTGTGCCCCTGAGGAAGAGCAGATCGGCGTGTGCACAGAGTGAATAAAGCAAGTATGAGGAGATATTACAGAGAGAGAACCTAACAGACTGCAGTCGTTTAAATCACTGTACTCATTTCAGGGGGTATGAGAAGTCCCACATTACTTTAATTCAAAATGAAAATAGTCATTATGGGTTTATTTGTTTCTTTTTTTTTTTCTTCCACGCTTATTACAAGCGGGCCCCTGCGATTGGCACAAAGCAGGTAATTTCACATCCGCTGTGTTTTTTAATTACCATTTCATCTGCAAATGCATGCTAAGAAAACAAACAGAGCTAATATGAAATGCCATGCTGGAAAATCAAAATTGGTAAACTGGCGACTGCTGCAGGGCCGCTGGCAAACAGAGATATTGTGCAAAGGTCGATCCCGATGAACAGCAGGGATGGAGATATTTACATATTACCATGGGCAGAGATACTTAAAGACCTTGCAAGCCATTTTGATTTGTTAAAAAAGGAGGAGACTTGGAATTAAGAGTGAAAATGTAGGAGACGTACTTTTATATCTTTGTATAACAGCAGTTTTTTGTCTTGTAGTACCAGGTAGCGGTCCTGAAACTTATTCCCCAACAGCAGTTTGGAAGAACCGTCTTTAAATTTGAGTTGCTCTCCTTTAATGAAATCTTTCAGTTTATCTGTCACAAACACAGAACACCACAAAGAAAACATATTGAGTCATACCATGAACTATTTATGAGATAGAACATACAAGCCATACATATACTGTAGCACTGCACCAGTGCGGCCCTCGCTACTTCAAACTGTAGCAAGGTGTCATACATTTTTAAAATGTCTGAAGTTGCATTGAAAAGCAACTGAAATCTCATCTGCAACACTTTTCCAGCTTAACACATTTGAGAGTCTAGCACATACAGATCCTGCCACATGAATAAACCTTTGCATCACAGTGCTGCTTAATATATATTAATATCTTTAGTGAGGCATGCAGAGAAGCTATTACTCAGCGCAGGTACAAAATTATGATTTCTGGCTGCCGTTACTGATGGTTTCAATAGGAAACCAAAAAGAGTGTAAATGTACTTTCTAAAAAAAAAAAACCTGCTATGCTTTTCAGCAACTACTCCATTTATCATCAAGAGTGAAAATTTATCTGGAAATTGGTACAGAGACTCTAAAAAGTTATGAAATTAGGCCAGAATCAGAAAACTTTATGACTGATAGTAACTAGGGCTAGGCGATGTATCAGGCGATTTATTATACATTTGCAATGAGTTTGTTGGCCATAAAGTTAATTCAGTTAATGGATTTAAAACTCAAATTTAATTATTTATTACCGTCATCACCAGAAAATATACACAGGGGTCTCCATGTGGGATGTTTCATATGATACAATAAATATGAGAGAATTGAGACAGATGTGTACAGTTTTAATAGCATCTCTTATTTAAACCTCAATAGCGAAAATGGCGGTATAGTAAAGTCTGATTCATTTCTGGTAATCAGTTCAAACTGTTTGTTTTCAACTCTAATTCAATGTTCTATTTTGGTACTCACCTGAAAATGTTGGCATTGGCATTTTAAAGTTTTAGTAAAAAGATGTAAACATGTTAAGTAAATCAAAATTATTCAATAAAAAGTATCATTCTTCCTTGTGTTCATTTAGTATACTGAATAATAACAGGGCTGAAAAATATGAGATCTATATTTAAAAAAAAATTAAGCACAGCTCTAAGAATAACCACAAGCTAAACTTTGAATGTGGCTACAATTAAACACTGACTGTAAATGTAATAAAACAATAAGGTTGTTTAATCTGTGAATCATAGTTTAAAGTGATCTGCTGGGGTGCATTATTGTTGGTACCTGAGTTGGAATCTGTCATTTTAGAACCAGAATATTTCTTAATGAGCAGGAAGGCCGAGCTGGGATCCTCCAGAGAGCTCCACTCCAATACCTGCTCCAGAATCTTCTCTTTGTAGTGTAAGGGCCGCTCTGAGCACAGAGATAAATGATATGTAGGATAAGTGAAAGCAAATCTCCATCTGACTTGTTTCACAATTGATTGTGCCTCCACAGAACAGAGAAGCAGCCAGAGACTCACCGCGCCTTCAAAAAAATCCAACTGAGGTACGTAGACCAAAAAAGGTTTCCCAAAGGTGAAGAGCTTGTAAAAAGTCCGCACACTCAAACATCAAAGCATCACAAGCGAGATGAGAACAATATAAGCAATTTACTGAATGAAACAAGGCAAACGTTTCAGTCACATGTTGACCATTTTCAATGCCAAGCTCCACAGAACAGAAAGCCCAGAAACATATGCTATGCAAATATGATACTTCTAGCTTCTAGCAATGCAAGCTCTATTTCACACATCATTGTGCTCCAAAATGTGTCCGCAATTCATGTAAGTACGTTTGATGGACTGCATGTTGCAATGTGGTGAGCGGACGTTTATGTAAATGTTTGTGTACGAGTGTATAGTATGTTTATGGCCAAACATACAAAAGACTCTTTAGAATCTCAAAAATGAATCCGCAGGACTGTATATTCTTACATCAGTTCGCTCAAAAATAACTTACAGATTACATGAACACACCCCCCTCCCCCCCAACCCTTTGTGCTTAGGGCTTGTCCTCCACACAAGCATCATAATTATGTGGTGCAAATTTGTAATTATCGCCAGTCAATCTGACTATGATTATAAAACACACTCAAGTGCAAAATAGATCCATTATCAAGTTGTAATTTGTAAAAAAACACAATGCTCACTATTGGCAAAAATCACTCTTACACCACCTGTCTCCCCCTCCCACCAATGCATCACAATCTGTTAATAGTTTCTCATTACCCTCATGAAATAATAATAGTACTGATCATGTGCATTCACTTAGCTATTGAAGCATTTTAATGTGTGTGTAAGCCTTAGAGGAACATCATTAAATGCTCTAATAATTTGGTATACACTTATAAAAAGACAGTTTATGTAGAATTCACCCGTAAGTTAAATTTAAATCTTGATTTCAATTGTTTTAGTGTAACTGTAAGATTTAACAGCAGCAGGACCCTTACCCATCTCTCCATTCTCAATGACCTCAAAAGTGGTCCAGAGATCTTGAGCTTTGACCTCCATCCCCTTCATCTCCAGAGCGCTGACAGCAAGCTCGTCCGACCTCATGTTAGGAGACACCTTATAGAGACAGACATCAGTATCATTCTGTTTTCAGTGTTTTAAATGTTCAAGACTTCATTTCCTTGTGCATAAGGATTTATCTACTTTTGCTGGAGGAGAAGGAGAGAACTGCAAACACAGGTACACACAGAGAGACAAAACACACACACACAACTTTAAATACAAACTTACTTCATATAAATAGTCAGAAAGAAAGAAAAAAAAGAGAAAGAAAGAAAGATTGAACACAACTTTTCTAAGAACTAAGCACCATGCAAATATGATAATACTTCTAGCTTCTAGCAATGCAAGCTCTATTTCACACATCATTGTGCTCCAAAATGTGTCCGCAATTCATGTAAGTACGTTTGATGGACTGCATGTTGCAATGTGGTGAGCGGACGTTTATGTAAATGTTTGTGTACGAGTGTATAGTATGTTTATGGCCAAACATACAAAAGACTCTTTAGAATCTCAAAAATGAATCCGCAGGACTGTATATTCTTACATCAGTTCGCTCAAAAATAACTTACAGATTATATGAACACACCCCCCTCCCCCCCAACCCTTTGTGCTTAGGGCTTGTCCTCCACACAAGCATCATAATTATGTGGTGCAAATTTGTAATTATCGCCAGTCAATCTGACTATGATTATAAAACACACTCAAGTGCAAAATAGATCCATTATCAAGTTGTAATTTGTAAAAAAACACAATGCTCACTATTGGCAAAAATCACTCTTACACCACCTGTCTCCCCCTCCCACCAATGCATCACAATCTGTTAATAGTTTCTCATTACCCTCATGAAATAATAATAGTACTGATCATGTGCATTCACTTAGCTATTGAAGCATTTTAATGTGTGTGTAAGCCTTAGAGGAACATCATTAAATGCTCTAAAAATTTGGTATACACTTATAAAAAGACAGTTTATGTAGAATTCACCCGTAAGTTAAATTTAAATCTTGATTTCAATTGTTTTAGTGTAACTGTAAGATTTAACAGCAGCAGGACCCTTACCCATCTCTCCATTCTCAATGACCTCAAAAGTGGTCCAGAGATCTTGAGCTTTGACCTCCATCCCCTTCATCTCCAGAGCGCTGACAGCAAGCTCGTCCGACCTCATGTTAGGAGACACCTTATAGAGACAGACATCAGTATCATTCTGTTTTCAGTGTTTTAAATGTTCAAGACTTCATTTCCTTGTGCATAAGGATTTATCTACTTTTGCTGGAGGAGAAATGAGAGGAAAATAGGAATAGAAGATATCAAAGAAGTGTCAAGAGAAGAAAAAAAAACACTCTGAAGCAACCTCTATTAACTGAGGTTTACCCTGACAACTGATAAAACACAATTACTCTCACAATTAAATCAAACATGCCTTTGATTAACTGCAGTTTGATTTAGTCTGTGGCAGAATACCCTCTAGGTTCACACACACACACACACACACACACACACACACACCACAGTGAGTGAGTGAGAGTGAGGGAAACAAACCTTGATTAAACAGCACTTCTCTGGCTGCTTTTTTTCTAAGTAGACTTCAAATATCAGGTCACCAGCAGGAGAGAACTGCAAACACAGGTACACACAGAGAGACAAAACACACACACACAACTTTAAATACAAACTTACTTCATATAAATATATAGTCAGAAAGAAAGAAAAAAAAGAGAAAGAAAGAAAGATTGAACACAACTTTTCTAAGAAACTAAGCACCCAACAGTACAGCAGTCTTTGTGGATAATACAAAAGCAATCAGCAGCCCATTCAGTTCAGAGCAGCGTCTGTGTGTGTCTGACTAAATGACACACAGCTGGAGTCCCACACATCATTTAGTGGCATTACACAACAAAAGCTGCCAAACATCTTAACTCGTGTAAACCACAGATTAAAGCTCCTCTTCTAAACAAATGAAACTGCTTTGGCAAAATGTATTTAAATGTAGCGTAAATGACACATGTGCTACTGTAACTTTCCATAAGAACATTGTATAAACACTCTTATTCAGATATCTCTGTCTTATACAATGAAACATGGATATTTTTGCAGCCAGTGAATAGTACTAGTCAAAAGTCTGGACACAACTATCCAAATACATGTTTCTTACAGACTATCTGATTGGTTATCCCCTACGTGGATCTATTTGGGGGCCTCAGCAAACAGGTTGACTTAAAATGATTTAATTGTATTAAAAAATTATTGACTTGGACAGTCGGTGGCCATTGAGTCAAAAAGGTTGAGAACCACTAATCTAAAGGCTTATGCTTGAAATGAGTTCCCTTTCAAGGGAACTTCGAACTGCGTCCTCTAGGGGTCGCTAGGGGGAACACCTTCAGTGTGACTGGTGTCTGAAGCATATATCTAAAAACGACAATAACATTGGCCGGCGACAGCCTATGACGTCACTACCGGTGCGACTATAGTATAAATAGGCGCCGGGAGAACACGTCATCCTCTTCTTCATCTTCACTGACCGTTTGTTTATGTTAGCGTTAAACTAAACACGACTAGGAGTGCATGTTTCTCGCCAGAAGCTTTGCTCTGATACCTGCAGTTTCACACGGCTCGCGTGCTGTGTGTGTGTGGTGAAGAGCAAGCGCGCTCAGCTCTCGAGGGAGTTGGATGCACTCTGCATTCATTGCTTATTTCTTGTGAGGGATAAGCATGAATTGAACGCGCTCGTTTCACAGGAGGCGGCTTGTGCTCATTGTGATGCATTCGCGGGACTACTGAGGGGGATGTGAGTATTTCACCATTTACCCGAGTTTGTAGATAGCGTTTGCATGAGTGCGTACGCCTCTCGCGGGAATAGCGACGCATTCGTGGCAGCGGTTCCCGTTCTTGCTTGATTTCCGAGGTAATCTAGCACTTGGGCGGAGCGTGTTTAGCTCCCCCAGGAGCTGAATTC